AAGCATGATCGCAGTCACAGGTCGAATGGACGTCATTCCCGGGATGATAGCCGCGAGAAAAGACGCCACAATAAAAGTTCCAGAGATTATGATGACCGTTACTGATGACATGCGGACAGTGTACGTTTTTGTATAAAAGTTTACTGGTTAATATTGCTATTGTAAATATCGTATTTATTGAAAAAAAGAAAACCTCTGCCAACTTTTTGTGTTTTGCTAAATATGTTAGATCACGACCTATCCAAAACATCCTCCCAAATGAATATGCATCCATTCTACTTCAAATCGTTTGATCCGTTTCTACAACAGATGCCTCTGAGTAGAAGCGTTATACACGGACGGAACCTCTCAACATGAACACAGTGCATGCTCTTTAGGAAAACTCGTAGCATGGCGAAGTTTTCTGGCAGTTGCTAGGTAGAGGCCACAAAGATACTAACTCATCGTACATAGAATTAGGGAACATGGCTCAACACACCTTGATCCCATTGTATGCTAGGGCCTAGTCACCTGGTGGGTAGACGCTCACCGATCGGTTACGGGGCTCACTTGTCCCGTTCTGCTTTGGGACTCACTCTCGACTCCTGCCAGTAGCCGCAGGCTAGTATTATAGTCAGAAAGTCGAATACGAGGGCGACTGCAATAGTCTGGAATTGGCTATGACTGGTTGGTGACGGTAATTGGGGGCTCGATTAATCGGTCACTCCAGGTTGCATGTGGCTGGCGCCGGATGTAGGTCCTTGCGTTAAAGTAGTTAATTGGACAGCCTGAAACAGGACACTTGTGAGAGACAACAACAGATTGCAATCCAACTCATCCCTTATCATGACGCCTTCGAAGGTGTTGGGATGCGCCATCAGTTGGTCACCGGAAGGCAACCAGGTGACTACTTACTCGGTCCTGCCTGGGATTAGCGGTCGGCCTGAGAAGGTGCCTACTCCACGCAACACTGATTGAGGCGAAAAACACGGCCTTCGTTTATCACACTTTAAATAGCGATTTCATGCTACGTTTAACTCCGTGCCCCGGCTTATCCACAATCATCTTGATTCGGTTAGGGTACTGGGCAAAGGGTGATTCTGGCGTCGCTCAGAATTTGTGCTTTGTTTTCATGCCGTGAACAAATGAGTTACTAGGGGTTCATTAGTAGTGGTGAGTTCGAAGGTTGTTGGCTGGACGGCCGTAGTGCCTTTTCCATTGGGTAGTCCTTGCTGCACTGGCTTACATGTGAAACTCACTGGCGTCCACACTCTTCGCTGTGGGGGGCTATGAAGCAGGCGGTGTGTATGACAGGCGCGCCCATCGCCAGTCTTGCAGCTTGAAGAGTGAGAGTTAGATGGGGTGCAGTCTGATCAATTTAGCCTGCATCAACCGTAAGGAGATTCAGCCCCGTCAGAAAATGGTAGCTGTTGACTGGTTGCAGTATAAAGGCAACTCATAACGGCGTACATATATTGTCGCACCTGTGCTTTTGTCCCATTTCATAAAATAATGCCTAGTTATCCTTCTGCAGGTTAGTGGCAACGTTATTTGATGGTCTTTGACTGTTTAATTGTTAAATGAGAAGACGGAGCGTGTTGTGAAAAAAAAATTAGTTGTTGGATACCTGTTAAACTCCATCTACGGAATTTCTTGCGCAGTCATTGATTTCCAATCTGATTCTGCACTGGCTGTTGTATTTCGCAAACGCGGCAGTATACTAGTTCGTTCTCCGTGCGCCTGCGTTCATTTTTCCACCGATTCGTATTTAGGGTGCCTCAGCAGAGTATTTGTTTCAAATGTGCAGGCAAAACTCGCTGACCAACTCTATGTACTTGGTTCGCATTCGGGCAAAGTATGATTATTTGTCCAATGAGCCTATTATCTGTTGGGCTGGCGGTGAATTCAGACTTACTAGATTACAAGTCGCCGCCTTAGAAAGAAGAAGGGCTAACTGGAACAGGTCTATTGAAGTGCTGACTTTTCGGAGAACCTGATGGGCTCACCATTGTCAGAGCGTGGCGTGCCTTTCCAGTCGGTCTCGTGCTGATAGTTTTGTCCGCTGTCTTAACTTAGAAGAGGATGTTTGGCGGGCTTTTCAGCTGCATCCGTCGAATCATTACCTTGTTGGAGAATGTTTAACGCTACGTTGCGGTTCGGTCTGGGGATTATGCCTTTGCGGCCTTCTTGCCAGAGCTTTTCTTACGTAATGATGCGCGACTTAATCGGCTTCAGAAAGCTCAGGGTGCCTGTTGATGGACCTGATATCTGAATAAGACTCCTAAAGTGTTAGCAGCTCTGTCTTTGCACTAGCCTACGATAGTAACTCACTGATGATCAAAAGTATGGCCAGTTTCGCCAAAGTGCGTGCAAGTTGACAGTTCCGGTCAAGCCTCAAGTTTCCGTATAGGTGATCTGCAGTTTTCTACTCATTTTTTCTACGTAATCGGGTACGCTATCTGGGATTGGAGACATCTAATCGTTGCAATGCGATGGTTTGTAGCACGGGCGTAATATCCGGTTCCAGAAGCAGACCCGTTTTACTGATTTGTTCTGGTTGTAAGTAAGGACTGTTCTTGGGTTACAAGTAACCGTCTGTTGTCATTTATATTGTTTTTGTTTTCAATTCTTCCTTGAGGCCTGTC